AAGAAAGTATTATTATGGACATCTCACGCATATTGCCAATGTTTTATACTGTTTGCAGTTTGCACATGAAAGTGGTTGTTGATGCCCCTCCTATTATTCGACGTTGTTGACAATGCGATAACAATGCCACTCGCACTGTGCACATTTTAGCACTAGATCTAGTGCCATTTTAGCGCTAGATCTAGTGCCATTTTAGCACTAGATCTAGTACTTTTTCGGATTAGTGCTACTAGCACTAACCACTCGCACTACGCCCATTTCGACACATTTACATACATGGAATTGAATGATGGTATTAGAGAGAATCATGATGCAATGTGTTGTAGAGTCACTTCATTCAAAACTACTCATTCATTCTAGCAAGTCATGGTGAATTTTATCTTGTCAATCTTGAAGTTACAACCGTTATAGTCATCTCATAAGGAAAACAATTGTTGCTATTTTTTCTCAATGATTAGTTTAATCCGCTATGACAAGCTAACACAATACAGTACAATACCTGTATGCAGATGTACCTGAGTACAGGGGGATGTTCTGTACGTGTGAGCACTGCTTTATAATTTAAGACATTAGAGATGCATGTGCATGCAGTTGCCACAAGCTAGCTCAGGCATGGTATGATGCACTGTGTTACATTCAATGTGCCTTGATGCTTGGAATTAATGCATAAGGATAGTTCTCCACTCAATGTTCATTAACTTGAGAGATATTGAAAATATTGACTTCTATGTGTGTGTGTTTTTTTCTTCAGAAAAAAAGCATATTAATAAGAAAGGAGTGCGTTTTAGTAATGTCATGGAAGTCAGACATTTATCAGGTAGGTGTGTATGGACCAGGGTGAAATAGTGCAATGGAGTATTTCATTCAAGACCATCATTTCATTGCACTATTCCACCCAAGACCATCACTTCATTGCACTATTTCATCCAAGACCATCACTTCATTGCACTATTTCATCCAAGAAATAGTTCATGGAGTGATGGTCTTCGATGAAATAGTGCAATGAAGTGATGATCTTGGATGAAATATTTCGATGGAATGATGGTCTTAGGTGAAATAGTGCAATATTGAATTCATGGATGAAATAGAGCAGTTATGTTGGCGGTTATGTATACAATTAGAAGCTACAGTACAGCTCAGAACTTGCTTACCTAACATGTTAACGCTGTATTTATACACATTATAACCATGGCAACCTTGTGTTCAGGCAAACACACAACACCAGCCTGTATACCATCTTCCGGGTTTCTGGTTTCCAAGTAATATTCAGTGCATGCTATTTGTTTTACATAGATACGCAGGCAGAGGCGGCTAAACAAGCACGTTTGTCGTACGCTGCATCGTTACGTGTTAAGGAAGATGACATGAAGGCTGCAAACAAATTATCAGTTCCAGAAGTTGCAAAACTTAGTTTATTATTTTGTTTAGTGGTAAGTGCATCAAGTGTTATTATATGTACAATAACAAGCATCAAGTATGAATACTGTAGAATACTTTTTTTTCGCTTGGAAATTATTTTTGCTATTTTCGCTGAAGGGATGTTTCCGTGAAAATAAAATCCTATATTTCACATGACACTCATCAAAAATCAGTGAAAATAAATTCCATAAAAGATGCCCAAAAAGCCTTTTCAGCGAAAATTAATTCCAGCGAAAATAAAGTATTCCACAGTATTAAAATTGATCGTTGTTTCTTGAACAAACATGTTTATGTAATTCATGAGAAATCATAATTCAATGTGCTCATCATCAAACAACATTTTTAAATATTACATGTTCTCATTTATATTTACATCTTTAAAGTATAGCTTCCAAATTCCCAAGATTTCATCAATGAATCATGGGAAATGTAATTTAATGGCCGTTTATCATTTGCTATGTTTACGCAAATTATCAGAGGTGTTAATCGCATGTGCGTGAATGCATCACCTATACCATTGTCTAACTTGATAGGACGTATTGTGATTGATAATCATTTTGAACACTGGTTCAAACTTGAAAAATTACTTAATTAACTCTGCCCAACTAGTACTCTGACGTCTAAATAATATTTACATATATTTATGATTGTATACAATAAAAACTAAAATACTTTTGGCATTCTGACTGTTGAAATTATCAATTCATTGATGCATCGCCATAGAGTGTGTCTGGTTGCCATCTTTGCCTTTATACACCTTGAGCTGTAGTTTTTATCATATTATTAATATCTTCATTATTAATATTTTGTCCTTCTAGTTTTTTCTTGGTAATTTTTCATATCAAGAGGCCTTAGCAGACACCCAAGTCGCTGTGGTTAATATACTTTCATCAACATCAGGTAAATATGTGTGCTTGTCTCCACTCTGCTCTGAGATGGTCCCTGGGGCATAAAATCTGTTGTACATTACAATGTATTGCTTTTCTTATGTATCGCTAGTATCCAAATTAGATATTCAATCTAAAAATCAAATATATTTGTTTGTAGGTTTATTTACACTGGTATTAGCTGCCATGTTTCCTAGCTCTCATGGTGATAAGTTTACTTTAACCAAACTTGTAGCTGTTCTTATTACGTAAGTATCTATGGTTTTTGTTTTGTTACTATTAAAATTGGTATTACAGATGAGATTTAAAAAACTAACTGAACATATTTTCTCCTTTTTCCTCATGCCTCTTGAGATATTGTTGGCCTGTTAAGGCATTCGTTTCCAATAATATTTCTCAATTATTTATTAGAAAAGATAACAAAAATTATCCCCATCAAGATTTTGGGAGGAAAAAATGTGACTGTAAAACAGCCATTATCACACAATGGAAGTACATAATAGTGAAACGATGGCTAGCATATTTTTTAGCTAATTTAATTACACTGTAATGTTGCTAATGTAAGTAATTATTAAGCACTTTACTGATTCATGCATTGAACCAAATTCTGAGTAATTTGTCCTGAGACATTCCTAAAAACAAAAACAAGAATAGCGACCCATGTATTTGTAACTGTATTGCTGTTAAGATGATTTAGGATTTATTCAGGAAGTAAATTTGGGTTTCACTACAAATCTCAGAGAAACCCACAGCGAAATAACACAGTTAAGTTAATTTTGATGCTGGTCACTGGTAGCATAGTGGCTGTTGCGTCAGATTCGTGATCGGTAGATCCAAGTTCAAATCCTACCTTACGCTGAAAACCAAAATTCATTCACTAACGAATGCGATTTTGGGGGAACCTTGGTTAAGATCCGTAGGTGCTTGTGTTTGACCGAGCCTAGTTGACCCCAGGATAGCGCATTAAAATTGCTATTTGAAAGAGAGATGGCCGCACAGCCCTGTCATGTAGTCCCAAACATGAATGAATATATCAGCACTAGAACATGCAATTTGCACATACAAAAAAAAGTCAGGAGAGACAACAGTGATATTCAATGTCCAGAACTGTCACCGGGCGCAAAAACATAGTTGATTTTGTCGATATCGTCTGTGTTAATTGTTCTTATAATATGTAATATTTGTTGTAAGATTTCATAATCATTTCAACTTGATAATATTTGTGCTTTGCAGTATAAGTGGTATAGTACTCGTGAGTTTATCAAACAACACATCAGACAACGACCAGGTACAGCTGGGTGCAATATGGGCATTATGTGGTGCTTTGCTTTACGCTATTTATCTTGTTTTGCTAAAAAGAAAAGTTGATAATGAAGAAAGGCTTGACATTCCTATGTTTTTTGGTGAGTGCTTAAATACATTTCATGCTATAATTATTTGTTTATTTATAAACTAGTAGGTAATTTATCATGATTTAAGTTTTCATTCAGTGTATCGTTTTCAGTCTGTGATGTTAAAAGTGTTCTCATTTTGTATGTTTGTCATCACAATGCTGTGCTCTTCCTTAGCAGGATATTAGGAGAAATGCAGCGCCCTCTAGGATTGTTAGAGCACCCTCTTGTGGTCATTCTTTTTCAGAATTTGTTTTTACCTTGCCCGTACCATCAAAGATGGAAGGGAAAGGTATATTAGGGAAAAAATGTTGTCCGGCGTTGTCGTCGTCGTCGTTGTCGTTGCCGTTAATAATTGTTATTGTGTGCATAATAACTTTACTAATTCTAGTCCAAACTTCATCAAACTTGGTCACCTTATTCATCAGTATAAAGTCTTCCCTGAGTTTGAACAACAGATGTCCTGTATGAAAATATCATGCAAAAATTGAGAAAATCTGATAAAATATTTTGTATATTTTGACTGTTTCTACTTGACTGATCACTGGTGATACACATCAAAGGTCACTGATCTCAGTGGAAATATGCATTGTTGTATGTGTTCAATGAAGCAATTCATTTATCTTGTAATAATATCCTTGGTAATGTATCCCCCAAACCCCATGGGAATACTATACTGGGTTTCAAAACTAACTCATGGAGAGATTGCACAGTCTGATACACATTTGCAAACCTACCAATAAAATCTTTACAGAAAACAAGATGTCAGAAAATCAATATAAGCACTCCTATGAACTGGATGCCAAACTTTGATCAAGATCTGAAGCGTATAGAAAATCTGTTTAGTTCAAAGTTATCAAATCAAAAACAATACATAAAAATACATAAAAAGCAAAACGTTTCATCCACATTTTGAAAAGAAAATTGTTCTAAAATATATGTATTCTGTATTTGACAAACAGTTCATTCGACAAATGAACACTCACAGGAATATGTTTCAGCTATTAGAACAGAATGATAGAGTTTTACAATACTACCGGTAGTTTAAAAACACACTTCAAAAACAAAGATTGCGGTGTTTGAAGATGTAGATTCTCAGGAGGCAACAGTACTGTTGACTTCTCTCTCCACTGGACACCAACTATTTAAGTTGATTTGCATACAAAGCAGAGCTTGCAACATGATAGCTATTCATAGAGGGTGTTTTTTTTTACTTTTCATATAATACAGTAGTCACACAATGAGGCAGTTCATATTTGTCTCAGTGAATCATTAATTTTTGACAGACACCTGTACAAAATACTTGGACTAAAGCCAGCTAACATTTTCTGTTATCTTGCATGTTTTATGAATCTATTCACATCTAAATGCAGCACTTTTTTTCTGCGATGAGGCATTTGTTTTTATACTAAAATATCTGAATTACTTTGAATAAAGCTGGAAATTATGTCCCTTAAAATAATAAGGCACCAATGTTTTTGTAAGATATTTACATCTTTTAAGGACATTCAGTAGACTGATTCCCCACTGTTGGTTCAACCCCAAAACTTGTTTGTATTCAAAATTAATTATGACAATGCATATTTATATTGAAACAAACTATGATAAAGGGAATTATATTATATAACAAAGGGCAAGGTCACCAGAGTTCAACTATGTTTTTGTAATATTTCTTAACTACAAGTCTGATATTTGGAGAATACTATAGAAAAATAAATCTATTCTTTTTTCGTTCCATGAGTAAACAATTTTTTTCTTGTATCTGCAACATGCATCAGAATCTGTATCCTTAAATTCCCACTTTCCTGCAATGACTAGAACACTAACATTTTGTTATTGTTTTATTTTTCAGGATTTGTTGGTCTGTTTACCTTTTTATTATTGTGGCCATGTTTTTTTTTACTTCATTATACACATCTCGAAATGTTCCAACTGCCGAATAAGATGGCCTGGTTATATCTGGTTATCAATGGTGTGGTGGGTACAGTGTTGTCAGAGTTCCTCTGGTTATGGTAGGTATACATTCTAAATCAGTATGCCTTGGGCCCACATGTGTGTAGTGGTATAATTTCCGTCTTGAAAGACTGGTATTTATTCCTTAATTTCCTTGCAATAGCGATGTAAAGCAAAACTCATGTACTTTTAAATTAGTGGATTCTGATGAAAGATTGTGTTTTCTTTTACCTTAGTTTAAAGCTGTATTATTGAATATATATTTTGTTTGTAGCATTTGATAAATGAAGTAGTATGTGCAACAATTATGGTATTTAAGAGATATCTGGTAGGAAATTTTTAGCAGCTGAACATCGCCAAGCATTTATGTAGATTTGACTGATCGATTTTTAGGAGCTTAGAGCATGAACAAGTTCATTCAGAGATCTCGTTGAATTGTATTGGAGTTTAAGTATCTAGTTATTGGAGTAGTGGAGTTTTACCGCGTTATTGTACTTGATGTTTGCAGAGTATAATAATACCAGTACCAGTTGAAACCTCATCTGTTGGCTCTGTGTTCGTATTTTATCATCGCCGCCAGGGAAGTCTTTCTGTTACTGTTGCCATTTTGGTATTTGAACCATCACACCTGTACTATACCAATTACGGTAATATTACGTTGCGTGTGACATCTGACAAAAACGAATCCAACAGGTCTTTGAGGCTTACTTTCAATAGATCGCAGCGAAGCGTGACACAAAACTTATTTCTCTCTTGTGCAATCTACATGCTATATGTATATAACATTTCATAACATCTATTGCTACTGCATCCAAGCGATTATGGAACATTTCATACTTTCTTGGCTAGTTGTGTTGAGTGTGTTCTAAAGCAGGATTTGAACCGTGTTGCATGACATGATATGGGGTATTTCAGGTAAAAAAGAAATCAGTCAGGTTCTAACATGCCTAACTCCTGAATGCCACCAGACTTCTTTGTCCAAATATTTCTCCACTTTTTCTGGAAATAAATCCTAATTTTGGAGCCACCAGACAAAATTTGAGTCGATGTTCAGTTTTTACTCAAAAAGTTTGTCTTTTTTTTGTCCCAATCTTTTTAAAGAAATTGCAGACTATAAACGTGACTACTTTGTGAATTTGTGATGAAAAAAGGGAGTTGATGGCTAACTGTATTCCAATTCATGGCTCATTTTCTACACATGTTAAATACTTTAAATATGTTTGACATAATGCAGCTTAATACCTAGGCAAATTCATAGTGTTTGTTTTGAGATTTTATTGCAATGAAATGAAAATAATTTTGTAGTTGTTTGGCATTGGACAACCCCTGGCCAAATATGACATGATGTTTTATTATCTCAAATACGTGACATATATACTTCTTTTCATATTTCAGGGGATGTTTCCTGACGTCATCACTGATTGCTACATTAGCATTAAGTTTAACAATTCCTTTATCAATGTTGTTAGACATCTTCTTTAATCGGGTAGGTAAAGCTGGTGTTTACAATGTATATTGCATTATAGAAAAAGAACAATATACAATTATCTAAATATATTGCAAAGTATGTATGAAGAAAATACAATGATTAAATGGACTAATTTTTAGAGATACAGCTAAAAAATGCCACCTTGTTGAAGTTTTCCGTTTCATTGTGCACTTCTTATAAGTACATTGGACTATTGGTAGACAGACATTGTAGTTAATTACATGACAGTCTCTGTGATATTGTGTAGTATTTACGACTCATCAAATGCAACATTTGCCCTAGAAATTAGTTTTTCATATATTACTGGCCGAATGGGGGCGTTTGTAACACTTCTTTTTTCATTCCTTTTCCATGTTTTATTGATTTTATTTCTTTTTCTCATTAATATTGCCAGTTTTTTCAATAGTATTTTAAAAAAAAATCATTTTCATGCTTTAGATAGTAATTTTTGTAGAATTTGTATATTTTAAGTATGTGTTCTAGTAGTTAGTGTAACCATTTTAATTCCCTCTGAGGAATTTTAAATGCTTCAATAAACTAAAAAAAAAAACTGTTTCCATGCACATCAGATTAAGCGTCAAATGTTAGAAAGGCAAACATTTCACAAAGACACAAACGCACATATTCTGTCAGTAATATTTTTAGTACATGGCTCTCAGATGATATACATGAATTTTACTCTTCAAAACAATCACCGGTTAACAAAATTCAGCTGAACTTTTGTGAGTGTCACCATCTTGAACAAGGCAAATTGATTTTGTGCGAATATGAAGGCATTTAATATGTATAATTCTTTTATATTTGTGTTTAGGTGATGTTTAACTGGATGTTTTTTGTTGGTACCGTGCCTGTGTTCTTATCATTCTTTGCTGTGGCTCTACTCAGCCATTATGATGACTGGGATCCAGTCTTAGTGGCACTCAGGCGTCTCATGTTCTGCTTTTGTCGGAGGAGAACTACACGAAGGTAAGATTCTGTAATGTCAAGATAATAATAAAATAATTTTTTAACCTTTTAACTTGGTAAAACATGTTTCCATCACATTGCATATCGTCTGTAAGCTTTTTGTTGTCATTATTTAAAGCCTAAATTAGAAAAATCAATGGAACAAACGCAGTTGAAATTCTGGAAGCCAATAAATTACAAAAATCTGCTTAAATAATATGGTTAACAATTCGACAAAGTACTTCAAATTAGTGAGTTTTTTCAGTAACCTCAAGCATTTGTCAACCCTTGAGAGCAATACATCTGTCTGGTTCAAATTTATCTGATTCTTAAGGTAGCGAGAACGTTTTGTGACGTTTTTAAATAAAACATTCTCTGTCTGTTGTCTCGTTCAGAACAGTAATTTAGGTTATATATATCAAAAGACTAAGTATAGAGGTGCAAGTTCGCACAAACTGGACAGACATTGTTTACATAATTATCACGTGACATCAAAAATGGCGAACCTTGTAAAAATGACTAAGTACGCGATTGCGAGAGCACACTGCGGAATTTCCTGGTGAAATTTAAGTTATGCATTGTCCGTAATCAAGTCCATTGAAATGCGTCTCCGATAATCAAAAGACCTATTATTCCGATTTCTATGCAGGTTTGTTTTTTTGTCCCCAAATTATTTCATACTTGGCACCTTTAACAGACTATTATTCTGTGACAAAGCATTTTCTTTAAAA